CTCCGTGCTGCCGTCCGTGTTCCTGTTTGTGGCCGAGATGACGGCGGCGCTCTACCTGAGCAGCACCTACCGCACGGGAGGGGACCGCATGTGGCAGGCGCTGACGCTGCTTTTCTCGCTGCTGCCCTGCGCGCTGGTGCAGCTCACGCTCCTCTTCGTGCACCGCGACCTGAGCCGCGACCGTCCGCTCGTGCTGCTGCTGCATCTGCTGCAGTTCGGGCCCCTCTTCAGGTGCGTGGGGAACCCAGAGCTAGCCCCTGGCCACAGCCCTCCACTTGCCGAGCGGAGGGGGGCGGCCTTCCGGGAGGGACAGGTGGCTGCACTCAGGGCTGGGCGCAGGGACAGCCCACCCCGCCCCTCGGCTCCACATTCCAGTCACAGGAATGAGACAGAATGCTGGCATAATGGTGATAAAGCTGCATTCCGGTTAGGTGCCATCATATGAAATTGCCAACAATCAGCTGAATCTGACCAACAGAAATAGCATTTTCATGTAGTTCGTCCTCATAAAATACATGGCTTTCTCTGCGGTCCGTTGGGCTCTGGCAGGACTGCCTTGTGTGGTCACAAACCCCTGGGAAGTGTGTTGTAAGCCACGGTTACAGCAAAAGCGTGTGCAGGTAATTTTATCAAACTCATGGAGCTTCCCGTGTACCAGCCACTGTTCTAAGCGCTTTACGAATATTTATTTAATTCTCATCTAGAAGTCTAGAAATCCACGCACCATTCTTTTGTCTTGGTGGCGTCGTGTGGAAACATATGGGGTTGTAGAAATGTCATCACGCCGTGCCTAATTTATAAACATAGTCATTAAAGCTGATACCCATGAAGAGAAAAAACTGGCAGTGTGTGAAGCAAAGAAAAACTGTTAGTGACATTTCTGGAAATTACTTTTTATTAGCACAAAGCAAGTAGAAACATGTGGTAATGAAACAGCCTGGCTTATCTAAGGACCTTGAAGGAAGTTTGCAGTGTTTTGTTTTCTCATCTTTCATCTCTATAGGGAAAGCAAAACAAAGGGTGTGTATCTGGATTGGAAATAAATTTATAATCCTGAACTTTAGACATAGGTGACAGAGGAATTTGAAGAGCTAGAAAGGCTGGAGACATACCTCAGCTGCCAGAATATTCAGCTAGCCAGGAACCTTTCCTACCAGGAAATCAGTCAATCTCTCTCCCTCGGCCCCTCCCCTCCTCTCACCGTCTCTGCCTCTACCCCTTTCCCTCTCTCCTCTTTTTTCACACACACACACACACACACAAACACACGCACGCACGCACGCACGCACACACACACACAGACAAAGTGGAATAGCAAGATAGATTTTACAAAGCCCTATTATAAAACTTTTGCATCTTATATTAAAGAACCATCCCAGTGGACATTCAGAATACTGACTTATACGTTACACTCAGTCACAGCAAACTTGGTGAACAAGTTTCCCAGGCTCCAGAAGCCTCAGAATCCTAGAAAGAAAGAGAAACAGGTACACTGGTAGGAGTGAGAGGTTGTTACTGAGGTCCTGATAGCTAGTCAGGAAAAGTAAAAGGGAAAGGGAGTGAGGGGAATTTAAAAAGCCCTGCAACCTGGAGCCATTTGGAACCGAGTAAGCCCTGGATAAGTGTCATCTGACTTTAGGCAAAGCACTCGTCATTTCTTAACCTCTATGAAAAGCAAACTCATCATGTTTAAGATGAGTGACAGGGAAAGGGGAACTGACGTTTCTCAAAACCTTCTTGTGCTTGGTGGTATGGTACATAGTGTATGCTTCAGTTCATTGAATCCTCACCACGAGGTAGATGCAATTGTCCCCATTTTATAGATGACGAAAATGAGGCCCCAGGCCACATTCCCAAGGCTTCTTAAAAATTGAGTTGGGTTAATTATGTACCCTGTGGTCTGTGAAAGAAAGCAGAGAAGCAGGTAGTGCATCCTATCAGTAGTTCCATCTTAAATTAAGAAAAAGCTTGGTCATCTTGGCAAAATAAAAAAAACGAATACAGCCTCACTTGCCATCCAAGTAAATGATAATACCCTATCCTTGCTGCCATTAAAAGTGTTTCTAAACACTAGGAGTAACACGAGATAAAGCCAATGATATAATATTATATATAATAAAAGGATTACAAGAATAAACAAGAGCTTAAGGCATACATTATGATGTTAAAAGTAGTAATTTCTGGATGGTGGGGTTATGGGTGATTTTAATTTTGAAAAATATAGAAAAGTATATGCTTTTCTCCTTTATTATATAATTTTATATATTCTTCAGTTTTTACCATAAAAGTATTTTAATTTTAATAAAAAAATAAAAAGTTCGGTGCTTTGAAGAGAGAACTTCTCAGTTATATTGAGTTTCAACACTGTAAAGTGACTTATTTCCAGAAAGTTATGAATGGGTCATTGTGTTTCTGAGGAAAACCAGCACAAAAAATAAAAAATAAAAACAACAATAAGCAACCCCTTTCCGTCAACACGGAGTCTCTCATTCTTTTTTTTTAGTAGACTTTTATTGTCATAGCAGTTTTAGGTTTATAGAAAGTCCAGATAGTTCCCATTACCCTCCCCCCCCCACACCCCCATACACAGTTTCAAGACGTCTCATTCTCATGCAGCTGATTTATTTCAAGGATACTTGGACCTATGACCTTAGAGCTGAGATACACAAAATGTGGTTGTTAATTCCAGATGAAAAGAAAAGCAATTTGTTGTTGTGTATTAGCATGACTTAATATGTTACTGGAATTTCTTCCTGCTGACTGTTTGATTCTATTTAACTCTAAGACATCAGCCTTACATAAAGATCAATATTATTTCCCCAAACAAAGGTGTTCCCTCCCCCCTTTATCAGTTAAATTTAGTGCTAAATTGTTTTTGGACAGTTAGCTCTATTTATCTTTGGGTGGGTACTAGCCACACTCATGCTCTTTTTAGGTGGATGCTGTTTTTGAGTTCACGCAGGATGATGGCCCCGTTAAACTGCAATAAGTCACACTGATGATTATGAGTTAAATACTACTAATTTGGGTCTGCTGTTTCTTTTCTTTAGGGAGGCTTTGGGAGAGCACCATATTGTATTTATATCAGTCTTATATTTAAAACTGTAGTTACAGTCGTTTCAACTTGAGGCTGGGTTTGAATTATATGAGCGTTGGGTAATGCCTTTAGTTTATTTTTTAATTTTAAGGAAAATGTTATTGTGAATTAAATAAATATTCTGGAAAACATCTTACCAAAAAATTTAAAAAAAGAGAACTGTTCATACTTTTTATCATTCTTTTACAGTTATGTTAATAATTTTCATAAATTAATTGGGGAAAGTAAAAGAAATGAATTACAAGTTCAGTGAATTTCCGCCATTTTTATTACTGGTATAATGAGGAAGCAGTGGTTCATGAAAAATCTGGGTTTATAAGATAAAGGCTAAGAAGTTTCAAAAATTTTATAGAACATTGCAGAATTACGCACCACAGTATGTCTCTCTATAGTATACTTTCAAAAGAATTCAAAATAATAATATTTGAAGACCATTTTTTTTTTCATTCACAAAGTGCTTTTACATACAGTATTTAATCCCATCCACTCTCAAACCTTGTGAGCTAACTGTCATTATCTTATTTTTACAGTCCAGGAATTGAGGCTCAGTAACAATAAGTGGCTTTTCAAACGTCTAACAGCGTCTTCTATTTAACCAGTCTAGATCTTGTGTCGCCTCTCAGAGAGTGTGTGTCATATGAAGATAATGTAGCTTATAGGAAATCATAGTCACTATTCCTTTGGAAAGAGTATCGTTATTAGGGCTTCTGGTATAACAAGTTATTTGTGCTGGTACCAACATGCATGGTTTCAGCTAAGGAATAAACTCCTGCTGTGATACTTGAAAAATGGTATATATGATGGTTGGAAATGGAAGAAAGTGAAAAAAATGGATTAACATGTTGATTATCTACATCAGGGGTTGGCAGACTGTGCCCCACAGGGCAAATTCCCCCAATGCCTGTTTTTTAAAATAAAGTTTTATTGGAACACATCCATGCTCCTTGGTTTATGTGTCTACAGCTGCTTTCACGCTACAAAAGCAGAGTTGAGTAGTTGCTACAGAGACCACGGCCTGCAAAGCCTAAGACATTTACTCTTTATGAGTACTTTACAGAAAAAGTTTGCTGACCCCTGGTCTCTATGATACTGAAAAACTACCTTGAATGATTTTGATGAAAGTATCTAATTTGTGGGTTTATTTAGACAACCTCTCAAGGAAAACAAAAACAAAAACAGATTTGGATTAATTGGATGAGTCTTGCAGAATTCCTAGAACAGTCGTTTGTTTCTTATCAATTTTCTTAACCTGGAGTGGTGGGAAGTGTCGGGGCCTTTCGCAAATTTATTAAACACTTACTACATGTAGAATTCTGTTCTAAGACAAATGTATTTCCTGGGAAAAACAGTGGATTGCGGGAGGCAATACCTGGGCTTTAGGACTACCTGAGCCATTAGTTCATTCTGGGACCTTCTTTCACTTCCATTGATCGACACTGAAGTTCAATTTCATCTACAATTTTGTGAATGCTTCCTGCATTATATTGCCCCTTTCTCAGCGTCAAGAGAATTGTTTTTCCTTCTGAACCATCAATTCATTCATTCAGCTCTTGGCATGTGCTAGTGTTTTGTTTGTTTGTTTTAGTCTTTAAAAACTCTAAGCTTAATTTTATTTTGCACGTAAAACATATTTGTTGAGATGACAGAGTAGAAAACAGATAAGCACAATGAAGAAAATAAACCTCTAATTTGACTGCATAAGAGAACAATTAATAATGTTCTGTTGCATATTCTTATAATATTTTTACCGTGGTGTGCTTGCAAAGTATCTGTTGGGGAAAACAAGCCCCGATTTTCAGGATTTGCAGATTCTGTAATGCATGTATTCCCATCATGTCTGATCAAGCTACCAGTTGTTAAACAACTGGCTCAAAAATTTCCTGTTTAACAGTCAGCTCTTTCGAGTCAGTATGAGCCAATTCAAGCATTCCACTGTTTACGTGGATGTGTGTGTGTAATTTGTTTGTATTTTTATATGTATGTGATTTTATTTTTATAAAAGAATGAAATTTTCTATATATATTCTATTGTAATTTGCTTTTTTCTCATCAAATACGGTAAAAATATTTATATATCAATAAATGTATTTCTGTACCGTCAGTTTTAAAGACTGCATAATGTTTCATTGAATGGA